GCCCTCGGCGTGCCGCCTCCGGCGTGCTGACCGCCCTCGTCGGCCTGTCCTGCGGCCGTGTGGCTTTTCCTTGCAAGCTTTCTCTCCTGTGGCTTTAGGGGGTTGGGAGCCAGCCATGCGTGTATGTCTGGCTGCCGCGCTTGTCTGTGACTCGCTTTACTCCGTTTCAAATCATTTAGCCGCCAGCCTGGCCCGGGCGTGCAAGCCCCACGGTGAGGTTCGGGTCTGGCACCAGAGGAGCGAGGGGCTTCTGGATTAGCTTGGGACGTAACAGAAACACGGCAGCCTCGCCACTGCTTGTCTGTCCGTGCTGCGAGCGCGTGGGGTGACCACATGGCCAGGCGTGTGCAGTCAAGTTTCTCAGCACCGTGGCTTTGGGGTATGTCCAGACAGACCTGAGACACGCTCACAGCCACGGATCCGGCTCTCACCGGCCACGTTCCTGGAGAGGGGCCGCAGGCAGTGCTGCCACCAGAGACCAGGAGGCGAGGACCCAGCAGAGCCCGGGCCGGAGGCGGCCAGTCCCCTCATGGCCACGCGGGCAGCGGGAACCCCTCAAGCCGGCTGGGGTTCTGTGCCGTGAGCCCGGGTGTCGGCCAGGGCAGCCGCCCGGCCAGGAGGGGCAGCGGGACGCCGGTGGCTTCGCGCTTTGTGGGAAAGCGAAAGGGCTCAGCGCTGAGCCCGCAAGTGGCCAGGGCCCTCACTGGGCACGGCAGACCAGAGCGGGGTGGGGTCGCCAGCCTGTCTGCGCCGAGCCGCCTGCCGCCACCAGCACGCTGGGCTCTGGCGCCACCACAGACTGCCAGGCCTCGGGCAAGCCCACCGGCGTGCAGACGCCGTCGCCTGCCTCGCTCCAGCACAGTGACCGGCGGCGGTGCCACGAGGACCTGGCCCAGCCCTGCGGCGAGGGGAGACGGTGCTTCGGGACCCAGAGTCCTCAGCAGCGCGTCGCTCACCTCGGGCCGTACTGCGCGCCCGCGGGTCTGCGCCTGGCGGCCGGGCCGACGGCCGGAGGACGGCTCCCTCAGAGCCAGGCGGGGCTCGCGGCAGGGCCCGGGCACAGGGAAGGGCCGCGGCCAGGCAGCACGAGCCGAGTCTCAGGTGCGCTGTGCGGGGCAGCCGGTCGGATGTGCCAGCAGGGCGCAGGCCACGGTTGCCGGCCGCAGGGGGTTGCTCTCGGTGGGGGTGGGGCGGCCAGCGAGGGCGGCCAGTGAGGGCGGCAGCGAGGGGAGGGCAGGGCTGCTGTTGGCGCCGCCAGCCCGAGCAGTAAGTGCTCGGGACTTTACCTGATGACCAAGTCCAGGCGACTGATAGCCAAACCCGTTCCCACAAGTTGCTTTTGAGGCTTGACCGGCTACTCCGAGGTCCAGCTGGAAGAGCAAACTCACCTACACACAGTGAGACAGACGGAGAGCTCGCGGGGCAGTGGGCCCGGTCACCGAGCTGCAGGCCCGGGGCTGCACTGCCGGCCTCTGGAGGAAGTGGGGGGCGGGGCGCCTGGGGGGGTCGCGCCGGAGCGGGGCGCAGGTCTTTCTCACAAGAAGCGTGGAGAGAAGGCCGCGCCCGGGAGGCTGCATTTCCGGTCTTAGACCAGG